CCCATTTCACAGCAAACACACAAAAGGTTGACAAGACTTGGTATATGGAATGAGATGAGGAAGAAAGTATAAAAACACGATGTAGGTACCGGTATGAAAGTTGTATTTAACATGGGTCCAGGTGAAATACCTACACTTGTCTATAGCAGTTTTGTAACTTCAAAATATCTTGATATTATTAATAAATTTAAATTTTGTTATTACTAGAGAGCACCTAGTCTAAGTTTAATAAGAATTAAGCTGTTTTTATATTTTTCACATATATGTAAGTTTTGTGTAATATAGTAAAGTTAGTACCTTTTAGGTAGTAAAACGATATCGGAAAACATATTCCCTATGAGTTGAATAATATAAAACTTTATTTGAATAATCCGATATTATCCAACATAACATATCTGCTTCAACATAAAAGAGTTTGTCTGTTTTCGAGGGATAAAAATGAGAACATTTGAAAAAATATTCAAAGTCATTTCTTTATCAATTCAAATACTGAAAAACGGAAGAACTGACAATATGATATATATTAATATTAATATATTTTCTATATTTCACCCTTAAGTTCCTCTGCAATGAATCACATACCATATTTACTTAACATGAACCTCTGCCAAACAAATTGGTGTTATGCGGGTACCACACTTTCTACATATTATATTATTGAAGTTTTTACTTCATTATAAACTCAATTAATGATCAGCGATAAGAATAATTTCTAAACAAAATGAATAGTTCTGTGTCAATCGCAGAACTATAAGTATAATAGTGTAAAAGTATAATATATGCATATGTTTACGGTTATATGAACTCAAATTGAAAATATATAATTTCAATCATTATCACAAAGTATATACCGAATTAGTCTTGTTAAATAATAAAAATAATGTAGCTCATTATTTATTATTTAAATGAATAATAAATGAATACTGAGCACAAATAGTGCTCTAAACAATATAAGAAATAGGTGTGAAAACAGTCTAATGTGTATACTATAAAGATTCTATCTCTTTATATTATTTACCCTCCTTTTTATTCACCTAAGCTACTACCTAGCCACACCTAAGTATCTATATAAAATCATGATTGTAATAATTTCATTAACTAATTAAACTCAAACTAATTTTTAATTAAAAAGAAGTCAATAAAATATTAATTTATACTTATAGGTAATGCTGCTTGTAAATCCTACCAAAGCTGTTACTGTACCATATACAATTTGGAATATCATGACATCACGCGGCTTATTGCTTATTGCTTACAGCTGATTAGGTCTATTAAATTATGCGATATGGAGTCAATGTCGTCACTAAAATACTAGACCTGTCGGATTCTGTATCTGATGTTTTTTTTCGCATTTCATACGAATTACTAGTGCGATGGATGTTAAAAAACTCATTGATGAAATCGAAATTTATTTGACAAAATGTATGCGATAAAAAGAAGGAAATTATTTTTAATCCATTTAAATGTGGGCTTAAAATTTCGAATTTAGATAAAAAAAGACTTAAATAGAAAGTATTATTAACGGGAAGTTTAACCAAATATGCACCTATCCAAGAAGAAATGTTTATGCAAGGCGAATATATGTTACAACCTCTCTAATGACAAATGAAGAGTGATTGTGAAAATAAAAAAGAACAATTTAATTTACAAAGGAAAAATGTACCTATATTTGTATTTTAAAATTTATATACAATATAACAATATTTATGTCCCATTTAGATATAACTGAATGACATTACTGAGGATATTTTCTTAATAAAATAGAATACTAGAACAAGGAAAGTCACCAATGTTGCAAATTTTATTGTCCATTAAACTAGGGTTCTATCAATTCTGGAAAATAGTTTCATCGCTTATTATGGATTGTAGAAAATAAAAATCTTTTCTATTATAAAAAGTATAACCGAATGTGAAGCAATTTTTCGTTAAATACATATGGTATTTTGAAGTTATCCTTTAATTTTTAATTGAACACTTTATTTATAAGTTTCTTATAAAATTGAGCGATTCTCCAAAATTAAACGAATGTAGATTTAAAGATAATTACGACGAAAATTACGAAGAAAACTGTTTTGCTAATGCAAAGGTTTTTAAATAGTACCAAATTATAAGAAAAATATTTTGTTTTTAAATTGATTATTAATTATTTTATAATTGAAATCATGACATAACAATTAAAAAATTATAAAATGTAACTGACAGGTTTCGAACAGTAGTGAATTGTAAAAACGAAATTTTTAGTTAATTGAATTTTTAGCTGACCATACAGCTGTTTCGAGTAATGGCTGTTTCTAGCGAATACCCCATCCTTGTAAATATTTCCTTCTCCTTCCTTCTCATTTTCCCTTCCTCCTCAATGCATTAGGCAAATCTGCTACACAGATGATTGTCTCATCTGCATGAGGTCCAACTTCCCCAGTTGAAACTACATTGAGCTTAACAATTACCTTAGGACTCACTCTGTTTACTACGTTACTACGGTAAGTGGAAGATTAAGATCAATGCCCTAAGAGGTTCCGTCTTCACGACAGCCCTTATGGGCCAGTGTGCTGATCGCGTTTGGAACATTAAAACCTCGGAATAAACTGTCGTATAAAAGGTGTGTTTTGGATACTGTCAAGATATCGGAAAATATAAGTCCGAGTGCAGTGCTGTTCGAAGACTTTTATGATTTTTATATGTGCGGGAGAAATTTTTTTGTACCTGTGGAGATTTTTTTTATTTTTGTAAATTTTCGTGAATTTAAAATTGTGAATGAAAGGTACTGAAGGAGATTAAATAAAAAGATTCAAGATTTTTAACAATTAAAAACAATACATATCCTTGTTTAAATAGTGATAATAAATTAACATATCAATGAAATACGTGTGATGAAATTAATCGAGCATAGGTGTTCCAACACTCATTTATAATAATTCCAACAATCATCTGCAATATTAAAAAGTTGGACTATATGAATAACGGCAGCTTTATACATCGTTAAAATAATGAAATACCGAGACGGTGGACAGGTATTTAAAAAGTGACGGAGAAGATAACCGAGTCCACATTTGAAAAGATCTTATAAGCAGTACAATTCCTACATATTTTATTATTATATTAAAAAAAATTTGATTTTAAATTTAAAATTTATAAGAAAAATTTTGTTTTGAGGAGAAATCTTGAACACAATAATACGAATCAATTAAAAATTTATGCATATATATATATATATATAATTTAGTTAAACATAAATTAAGAAAAGAAATTTAAATAATTAAAAACATATTTTTTTGTTATGATATAAAACAATTTATTTTATAAATAAGTGGTAATTAAAGTGAATTTAAAAGCAAATGTTGTTTTAATCAATATCGGTAAATGAAATAAGTGCATATTATTTTTATACAATGTAAAAGTTTAAGGAAAATAATTACATAGAAATTACAAAAATTATTGAAAAACCTTAAAAGAAATTAATTTATATACCATATATATGGTATATAAATGATATATAATGGTTAAAAATACATATAAAAGCACCACAACATCAAAGAAAATTTCTATAAACTCAAATAATTTAGAGTTCATTTGTTTCAAATACATTTTTTTTCTTAAAAGTTTCAACCAAAAACAAAGAACATACATATATATCTCGAAAAGACAGATTCTTTCCATATGGGCGAAAGAGATTGCAGACCAAATAGTGAAAGGCGTACGTGAATAAGGCGCGAATTAGCTGTTTATAGCAAAGCAGCTTAACTTTGCAGTTGAGCTGGTTGTATAATTATTTATATTTTTAACGTCTAATCAATGAAATAAATGGAATTGTCTAAGCGGCTTGTTATGATTGCAGTCACGTCATGGCAATTGTTGTTGCTTTTAATGCAAAATGAAGTGAGATGCTAGTGTCAAATTTTCATTTTGTATTGAAAGCAACAACAGAGTGTTGGAAGGCTTTCCTTCGACACCGTATGGTTCGAAGGTCTGATGCACAAACTATGCCACTTCGGCTTCCTTACAACACTCTGTAGTGTTATCCACCAGTTCCTTTCTAATAGATCCTTCGACAGATAAGTTCGAGAATACTTCGTAAAACCGAATACGAACAGCACTACTATAGAATACTATTTGTTTCATAAAAAAATGTTTGAAAACCTTTCTGTTTTTAAAGAATCCTTATTATTCCATTAGCAATATATATTATGGACACATAATTAAGAAAATATTGGAAAAAGTGTACATAACCTTCTTAAAATTTATTATATAAAGAAATATTAGGGGTATTCAGGATGTCTGTGCATCCTTGCAAACTCAAATAATCGAGAACACACGTTGTGCATATTAGTCTTGAAAATATTTAGAACAGATGATTTTTGTTTACATATTTATTTGCTTGTAAAATATAACCCAGATTCGATAATTTAGCATATAATAATTTCCACTAATGCCAAAAACAAGTGAAAAGCAGAATGCATTGACATTGTCCGACATTGTTGGACGTAAAGTAAATAAAAAATCAAACAATTGCACAAAATCATAAAATTACAAAATAACAAAATCAAAACAAACTTAACAGTTTCGCTGAAGTATAGAGTCTTGAAAATCAAATATGCAAGAGGTAATTGGTGTTAAAAATATGGTCTTGAATATTGTCTTGCAAATCAAGTGCAGAATTATAAGAAAAGAAATTGTTTTTGTAAAATCAAATAAATTTGTACATGCAACGATGCACAGACATCTTGAATACACCTATTGTACATTTTTTTTTATAGTTTTATAGTCTGTAAATAAACAGTTTTAAGATGCCTTATTTTAATTTCTGTTTGAAGTCTAGCACTAAATCCATTTTAATTTACATAATCCTAACCTCATATAAGAAAAAATTTTACAACATTTTGTTCTAAAAGCCTAATGTGGAAGTTGTTTGTCCGAATATTATTATGTACAATATACACTATTAAACATGTCATTTCAATATCAAAGAACATATTTATTGCCACCACTGTAAATGACAGTTGTCAAATGACAACTAAAAAACAAATAAAGTAAATGGGAGAAATTACTTAAATTTAAAAGTAAAGTAAATTATTTAACAAGGCACTCCAATATACAGAGGAAGAGCGTCAGATACGTAAACAAATATTAGCACATTACTCAAAGGTGATACCAACAAAATATTTAAATTGTGAAATTATTGAGAAAGTAGGATTATAATATGTAAAAAAGGCACAAAGTTCTAATAGTTGACGTATTGATTGTATAGTGATTTGAAAGATTAATAACCTCCATTACGAATATTGAAACTCCAGCAAGAAAATTCCAGCAATATTAGTCTATAAATTTCATTGTTAACTATAATCGTCAGTTGATTAAGTTTAATTAAGATATTAACAAATAAAAGTGTTAACTGAAATAGGCCAACGATTCTATTGTATTATCTGTTGTTGTTGCTACTGCTGTAACCAAATGCCCATTTCACAGCAAACACACAAAAGGTTGACAAGACTTGGTATATGGAATGAGATGAGGAAGAAAGTATAAAAACACGATGTAGGTACCGGTATGAAAGTTGTATTTAACATGGGTCCAGGTGAAATACCTACACTTGTCTATAGCAGTTTTGTAACTTCAAAATATCTTGATATTATTAATAAATTTAAATTTTGTTATTACTAGAGAGCACCTAGTCTAAGTTTAATAAGAATTAAGCTGTTTTTATATTTTTCACATATATGTAAGTTTTGTGTAATATAGTAAAGTTAGTACCTTTTAGGTAGTAAAACGATATCGGAAAACATATTCCCTATGAGTTGAATAATATAAAACTTTATTTGAATAATCCGATATTATCCAACATAACATATCTGCTTCAACATAAAAGAGTTTGTCTGTTTTCGAGGGATAAAAATGAGAACATTTGAAAAAATATTCAAAGTCATTTCTTTATCAATTCAAATACTGAAAAACGGAAGAACTGACAATATGATATATATTAATATTAATATATTTTCTATATTTCACCCTTAAGTTCCTCTGCAATGAATCACATACCATATTTACTTAACATGAACCTCTGCCAAACAAATTGGTGTTATGCGGGTACCACACTTTCTACATATTATATTATTGAAGTTTTTACTTCATTATAAACTCAATTAATGATCAGCGATAAGAATAATTTCTAAACAAAATGAATAGTTCTGTGTCAATCGCAGAACTATAAGTATAATAGTGTAAAAGTATAATATATGCATATGTTTACGGTTATATGAACTCAAATTGAAAATATATAATTTCAATCATTATCACAAAGTATATACCGAATTAGTCTTGTTAAATAATAAAAATAATGTAGCTCATTATTTATTATTTAAATGAATAATAAATGAATACTGAGCACAAATAGTGCTCTAAACAATATAAGAAATAGGTGTGAAAACAGTCTAATGTGTATACTATAAAGATTCTATCTCTTTATATTATTTACCCTCCTTTTTATTCACCTAAGCTACTACCTAGCCACACCTAAGTATCTATATAAAATCATGATTGTAATAATTTCATTAACTAATTAAACTCAAACTAATTTTTAATTAAAAAGAAGTCAATAAAATATTAATTTATACTTATAGGTAATGCTGCTTGTAAATCCTACCAAAGCTGTTACTGTACCATATACAATTTGGAATATCATGACATCACGCGGCTTATTGCTTATTGCTTACAGCTGATTAGGTCTATTAAATTATGCTATATGGAGTCAATGTCGTCACTAAAATACTAGACCTGTCGGATTCTGTATCTGATGTTTTTTTTCGCATTTCATACGAATTACTAGTGCGATGGATGTT